AAAACCTCCTTCCACCCCCTGCTCCCGTGCTCCAATTTGGTCAGGAATTCTTGTCCCCATCTTCTTCTTCGAGGGATTATGCAATCTTCTCTTGGGGTCCTCCTTGTTTCCTAGATTTTCTGGCAGTATGGAATGTAGGCTAGTGATCCTTTGCTCTATGTTTAAAAATCAAAAATGATCAGTAATAAGGTTCAGTGCTTAGCTATGGGTGTCTGTTTCTGCTTCGAATAGCAACTGGATGAAGACTCTCCTTCCTCTCCCTGCCACCCTGCCCCAATTTGGTCAGGAGTTCTTGTCCCCATCTTCTTCTTCGAGGGATTATGCAATCTTCTCTTGGGGTCCTCCTTGTTTCCTAGATTTTCTGGCAGTATGGAATGTAGGCTAGTGATCCTTTGCTCTATGTTTAAAAATCAAAAATGAGTGAGTACATACCATGTTTATCTTTCTGTGATTGGGTTACCTCACTGAGGATGATTTCTTCTAGTTCTATCTATTTGCCTGCGAATTTCAAGATTCCATTGTTCTTTTCTGCTGAGTAGTACTCCATTGTGTAAATATACCACATTTTCTCTATCCACCCTTCAGTTGAGGGGCGTCTAGATTGTTTCCAGGTTCTGGCTGTTGCAAATAATGCTGCTATGAATATAGTTGAATATATGTCCTTATTATATGAGTGTGCATTCTTTGAGTATATGCCCAAGAGAGGGATTGCTGGGTCTTGAGGTAGACTGATTCCCATTTTCCTGAGAAACCGCCATACTGATTTCCAAAGTAAGGCCAAAAGTCAACACTCTTTTAATGATTTTTTAATGAAACTCAAATCAGCAACCAAACTACAATTTTAAAATTGAATGTTGTAACATGACTTAACCAAACATCTACTAACCTGATACTTACATGGTGAATAGGGACAGAGGAAATATTTATAGTACTTCTTCACCATTATTAAGTCATCATGTTTCTAAAATGGAGAGAGTGAAGGAAGTCCTGAGCGAGTTCGTCCTGAGTAAATGAGTATTGTTTACAAGGCCACAACTATGTAAAGGACTCAAGGACTTCTGACCCATGAGCCAATTGGAAAAGCCTTTACTTGTGTTAAACAGTCTGAAGAGGGGTGACAAAGTCTCCTCCAGAGTTCAAGTATGAGTTTATGAGGACGGATCACTATACCGAAGACTAGCAACTTCCTCCCACTGGCTATTTACAGCCTGAGACTGCTTGCATAAAGACCTCCTAAAAAGACTAGGAATAAACAATGTACTGTAGGAATTAACACTCTGAAGCTCCTGGTGGACAGTAGAGGTAGCAGGAGCACCTGTGTGCATCTGTGTGTCTGTGTGGGTCTCTCCTGACTTCATTCCAGCTTGGGTCTCTCCTCTCTTCAAGCAGTTTGGGACTTAGCACCAACAGGGCTGAAAAAAATCTGTGAAATAAAACCATTGAGATTGACAGTATATAATATTCTTGTTTATTGGTATTCGGAGGTGGGATGAGGAAATAGGAAAGAGAAACCTAAGCAGGAAAGTACCTTCAATGCCCATCTCCCAGAGTGAGGTAAGAGTTGCTGGTGAACCTAGACAGTGTGGCCCAAGCTTACCCTGCTCTCAGTCTGCTCTTCTAGACAAGTCCTCTACAGGAAAGGGCAAACTCATACTGGATTGATTTGGGAGTTTCCACTCATTTGAAAATAATGGTACCTGATTTTATCTCCCTAGTGACTCTCTGTTTTTAATCATTCTTCCTGAGCCTGTGAGAACATCTCAGGGAGCTGTGAAGCATTTCTGTTCATTCTGGATATGAACATCCACCTTTATCTCTCTTCCTGTTGACTCGCTTGGCTGGACTGTGTCCTTGAGATCTCAGCAGGTCTCCACCCATCAAACTGATGCCAGTGCTTCTTCCCAAGGACTCCAAAACTTAAGAGGCTCTTGTTGAAGATCACCTCCCTGGGTTTGAATTTTAAGGTGTTCTCTCTCAGGCACTTTAGAAACTCCCCCACTACTCATTTCACAGTGCTCATTTCTTCTCCTGGGCTAATCTCTTCATGTGGATGTGCACACAGATGGTGTGATGTGTGATTGGTATTAATGGAGTGGATATTAGGGGAACGGATCTGAACCTAGTACATAAGAGCTTTGAATAAAAGATGTGTTAAAAAATACAGTATTGCTCCCCCACCCCTTGCCCCTGGACACCTGTGGCAAGCAGCAGAACTGACCCAGCCCCTCACTAACTGTAGCACTTGTGAAAGTGAGTCCTGCATCTTGCTTGAGCAGCACAGTGGAGGTGACCCTGTTGAGAGGAGTACAGATGAGCCTCGATATGAGCATGGGCGATCTGCCCTTCTCATTTGCCATAGGATGGCATGAGCGAGAGAGATGCTCCTCCCAAACCCTTACCGCCTGTGGCAGGTAGGACAGCTGGCCCAGCATGTTATCAGCTGCAGTATTTGGTAGTACAGGCCCTGCAACTCACCTGGGCAGTACAGTAGAGCTGGCTCTGCTGGTAGGGTTTCAAGTGAGATGTTTCCAAAGGCATGAGCTTAGAAGAGCTGGTCTTACTACTTGTCTGTCATGTGACAGAATATGTGAGGGAAAGATACCACCCCCTTGCCTCTTGAAACAGGTAGGAGCTGGCCCATGGGTCATGAGAGCAGGGGAGCTGGCCCTAGCTGTCACTAGCTTCAGGCCTCAGGAGAGTGGCCTCTATACCTTACCCAGGCAACAGAGTAGAGCTGGCCATGGTGGTAGAGGTGGTGGTGAGCAGGTGTAGAGCATGAGAGCAAAAGAACTGGTCCCACCCCTTGATGATTACTATATAGGGTAAGCTAGCAGAGTGTTGAGGATGAGACAAACTTGGCGTTGACCAACTGAGCAACCACCCAGATTCAAAAAGCAGGGCTATGAATTGGCCCACCTCGGCATACATCCCATCAAAAATCTGATGGAACATGTGAAGGGACCTGACACAGACACAAAACTGCAGGCTCTCCACAACACAGGAAACAACAGGATATCCAAGAGGAGTCCAAGTCAAGGCCCAACATCAATAGTGTAACAGAAACTAGAGGCCTTGAACCAAACCAATGAGTGTGTAATGAACACATGCAAGTAAAGATGTATGGACTAATGGTATTCTCTGTGACTCACTGTGTACACTATAGCTTCTATGATGAGTTTTTTTTCTATTTTCTCTTTTCTTTTAAATTTTATTTTGTTTTATCCTGGGGAGGGGATGTTGCAAAGTTAAGGGGAGATGAGAGATACTGAGATGCATGAAGTGAAATGCATAAAGAATTAACAAAAGTTAATAAAAGAAAGAGTACCTGTGATTCCTCACTGCAGCATCTGAGCTTCAATTCTGAAATATGAATGTGCTATGACACTGGTCCCTGTAGTTTTGTTTCCTAACTCACTAAAACTGCAAATAATACTGAGACCTTTACTTGTTTACCACTAGTAAGTTAACTATGTCTTTGAAAGAATTAATAATCTAACTAAAAATTGATTAGAGTTTTGGGAATAGAAGGACTTTATACTGGTCTGTCTCCTTCCGAGTTAGGACATGGTCATTCCTTCAAGTTTCCACTTAAACCACTGGAAGCATTTTACTTCAGACCTCATAAATAATAGATTTATAAGGGGATTCATGGTATTTATGAGATCAAGATGTGTTGGAATATCATTTTGAAACAAACTATAGTCCTTACATGAGCTTGCCTAATGAAGGAAAAGAATAAAAATATCTCACTAGACAAGAATTTTTGTTTTATTCACTTTTGAGTTTACAATTTAATTACAACATTTCTCCCTTCCATATCTTCCCTCTAAAACCTACTGTATATCCCTACTGGCTCCCTTTCAAGTACATGGCCATTTTAGTAATTGTTATTATATGCATATATACACATTTATATTTAATATAATGAAATATATGAAATGTATTTTAATATGATGAAAATAACCTGTTCAATGCATATAATGCTACCTGAATGTATGTTTCTAGAGACAACTATTTGGACCTGGACTACTTAGTGGTGTGTTCTTCTCTGGTGAAAGCCACCTCTCCTACTGCCAAATGTATTGAGTTGCTTACAGTTCTTTGTGAACGGTTGAGGCCTGCTAAGCCTTTCCCTGTGCAGTTTGACATGTTTGTAGGTGAAATCCTTATTTAGTTCACATCTGGGAAATCATGGTAATGAGAATTTATGGGTGTAGCTTCTGATTACTAGGAGATAAAACCTTAAAGCAACGTCCTGAGCCTCTGGCACTCACAATCTTTCAGCCACTTCTTTGGCAGTGCCCCCTGAGCCTTATGTGTTTGGTAGATACATCCAATGGTGCTGGGCTCCACAACTCTACATATTGATGGTTGTGATCTATTGCAAAAGAAAAGTTTCCTTAATGAGAGTGACAACTATATTTACTGTGGATATAAGGGAAAATGTTATAGATTGTTGTTAGACACTGTGCTGCTTTAGTAAATTGGTGGTGGTAGATTCTTCTCAATAACTATATTTCATTAGCACTGACTAGTCAGCTTGGTTTATAGAACCAGGCATGATCTCCCTTTTGTTGAATGGTTCTTAAGTCCAATTACAGAACTGTTGGTAATCACCAAGGTATGTGTGCCACTACTGCAACCCTATGGTTATTGTACATGTTGGTTGTTGAAATGGTCATAGGCATCATATTGAGTAGGACTGTTGATGGTCTTCCTTCTTTGGAAGATTACATGGTACTTTCTGATACCATGAAAGCTAGTCCTCAGTGACGGGGCATTCAGGTCAGTTTCAACTCAGGAGTTTCTGGGCTCTGTTTCTGAAGTGCATACCATCTTTAGCAGTAGGGACTTACCTTCCATCTCTCGAGGTACAACCAAGTAGCAAATATTTTTCCATAATAAACAGCTAAAATTAGATTGTTCAAATAGATTTATCCCTGAATAAAAATTATACTATTCTCATAGATTTATCCCTGAGTCAATCTTGTGCATGCCATACAAAAACCTCTGTTTACTGGCATCCTTATTGAATATACTTTTGTTTCAGTATGTACTTTACAGCAGCTTTAACATCCTTATTCCTCAAGCTATAGATGATTGGGTTGAGCATGGGGGTAACTACTCCATAAAATAAAGAAATGATCTTATCAGAAGTTTGAAAATTGTCTTCTCCAGTCAGATCTTGGGACTTGGGTTTTGCATACATAGAGAAAACGGTTCCATAAAATATGACCACCACAGTCAGGTGAGCTGAGCAGGTGGAAAATGCCTTGCGTCTCCCTGTAGCTGAATTCATTCTCAAGATGGTATGGAGGATGAACATGTAAGAGAAAAAGATGACCAATAGTGGAAGAACTAGGAAGGCCATATTTGATATCACCATGGTAATGATGTTGAGAGATATATCAGCACAAGCTAGTTTGAGGACAGCTAAGACTTCACATGTAAAATGGTTAATAACATTATTCCCACAGAAAGGTAACCTCATGGCAAGGGATGTTTGCACGACTGAATTGATTCCACCAGAGAACCATGATACAGATGCCATTGATACATACACTCCATGATGACAGAGTATCTCAAAGGGTTGCAGATAGCCACATATCGATCAAAAGCCATCATGCCAAGAAGCAAACATTCTGTCGATCCCATTGCAAATCCGAAGAACATCTGCACTGCACATCCAGAGAAAGAAATGTTTCTTTTCTTTGAGATTAGACTCACCAGAGTTGAGGGAACAGAGGAAGTTGTGTAGCAGATATCCAGAAAAGAGAGGTTGCCCAGGAAGAAGTACATGGGTGTGTGGAGACGGGCATCAAAGATGCTTGCTATGATCAAAACACCATTGCCGGTTAGGATCACCAGGTACATAGCCAGAACAATAGCAAAGTAAATGATCTCAGTCTTTGGGTATCCAGAAAGTCCCAAAAGAAGGAATCCGGAAACAAATGTCTGATTATTTTCATCCATGCCATCCACTTTCAGCCATCATTGGAAGACCTACCATGAAACAAATCCAATGATCCAAAACAAGTGATACAAAGTACTTGTAAAATAATTTTTCATGTTTCAGTAATAGTTCACTTTTGAATCTCTGGCACTGAAACTTTCAATAATGTGTTATTAAAATACAGTGAAATTGGGCATCTTGGAAGTACACATGCTCATTGCCAACATATGACTATCAATATAAAACACACATTAAAAAGCAATGCTTTCTTGTTCAGTATACAGTCCTAAGTTTAGGTTTCTGAAACCCTTGAATGATTATCCACCATACCGCTGATTTCTTCATTTCATCTGCCCTAGTAAGTAAGCAATGAAGAAGAAACAAAACAAGAAAACTCTACTCAAAAAACACTGTAATATGAGTCAGTTATTGACAATAGTCAAAATTTTATAGCGAATTTGTTTTTAATATTTATTTTTATTCCTGATATAGCAAACAGTAATTGCCCCCTTTAGTAGTTTATTTTATCAGCATTTACTCAAAAGAAATTAAGTGGTATAAGCTAAAATTTTGCATCATATCAAAAGCATGGCTACTATTTTCACATTTCAACCCACTTTTCTCATCTTCTCTGATGGCTCCTGTGACTAGACCACTACACAGACAGGATCCACAAATTTTGATGAAGAATCTTGGTATAGCATAACACAATCCTTTGTTGTTGTTCTGCAGTATGAGAGTTCATCTCGGTAATTTACTTGTTTAAGTCAACTTAGCAATAGTAATAATGTAAGGCTTAAATGAACACAGAGTTGGTGGAATAAATATTTCTGATTAATTTCTGATTCAAATCTGTTTCCTTTTGCCATATTACATAGGCTGGCATAGCAACTTTCAGAGATCCAGGAACAATAATTCTCTTGCATTTTTAAGACAACTCCAGATCTACATAATGTTAGATACTAAAAAATTAAAAGACAATTTTTTAAATGAAGAACCAATTTGTAGTAAAATATGATAATGTTTTTATAATGTTGCTAATGGAATACCTTGAAGCCAATCTCATTCTAAACACAAGGGTAAACTAAAGAATAATGGAAGGCATTGTCATTAGGAGATTGACAATTCAATTTATAATACAAGAAAAGTAGATGTAAAGATAATTATGGATGGTTATATACTGTATTGTAGGGCAAAATCATAGATTTTCCAGGAAGGTTGACATTTATGAGAAATAAATCATCAAGGGAGACTCAAAGAAATGTTTTGGGCATTCTGGATCTAGAATCATGGAAAGGATCAGATGAGTTTGGAAAAGAAAAGAAGATGGACAAATGTAATGTGACAAGCTGAGCCTCAGTCAGCAGGCAGATTGACCTGAAATCTGTTTTACATGAGGCTGTGAGGTTTGATGACAAACAGATCTAGGAAAGAAGTAAATGGGGACCAAAGAAAGTTTCTGACATAAGAACTTGGAACTACTTTTGATTGAGGTTTTATCAATAGACAGCAAACAATAAAAACCTTTAAAAAAGTCAAATTGTGACCTGACTTCAGCTACCTCCTAATTCTATTTTACAATGTTATCAGACTTGAGCTATTTGAATCAGTTGGAATATCACTGACTGCTGACTAGATGATAAAATGGTTCTTTCTGTAATCACCAGTGGGTTTCACTCCAGTAAAACAATCATAAGAGCCAGTCCTGTATGGGTGAATAACGCACGTGACATACATATGTTGTTCTGTGTTGGTAACTCAGAAAATTACTAAGCAAATATTAGAAGTCAGAAGTCCCACTATGTAGAACTGTCCATTACATTGGATTTATTTTTATAGTACTCAGCGATGTAAACATTGAAAAACCAAAAAAAAAAAAAAAACCACACAGAGCAGCAGAAGAGGAAGAGGGAGTAGAGCAGGAGAGAGATAGGGAGGAAAGGATGAGGAAGGAAGAGAGGGAGAGAGTCAGATAGGGACAGGGACAGAAATGGAAGTGGGAAGTAGTTCTACAGGCCACAGTCAGGTAGATAACAGCAAGAGGCAAGAATCCCCTCACAATACTGGCTCACCTACCTAACTGGTCCCACTAAAAATGTCTAAAGAAATCCTATTGTCAGCAACAGAGAGTGGTCAACAAAATACACAGAGAAATCGGTCACAATGGTGAATCAACTCTATTGATTAAGAAGTGCTCAGAGAAAAGAGTCAGTGATTTTACACCTACCAATAGTACCTGCTAAATCAAATTTGAGTACATTTCAGAAATTGCTCAAGGACCACTGCATCGTAGACATGAGCAGAAAGATCAGTGAAGAGAAATGAAAAAGGAAGAAGACAGGTTAACTTACCAAGACACATGGCCATGCTTCTAGTCAGATCATTTTGGAGGCCAGGCCTAGGCTGCCCACCTTCCTCTTCCAGACAAATGTCATGATGACTCATCTTAGATGACCTAAATGGCTTCTCCTGTTACTGTCTCAGACTTGCCCTCCTTGGCTAAAATTCCTTTTCTATTCAGACTCACCTAGAACCAAGCATGTTTTGCCTTCTTTATTTCTTATTTACTACTGGCTCTCCGAGTAGGTTCACTCCTGTGTGAGAGAGAAGTAAGAGTCAGGAGAAGGAGCTTGACTCTCTTGCTCATCCCTTTACTCCTAAATAAAACACAGTAACTGGACACGGTGCAAGGTTTTAACTGAACACATCAACTTTTATTTTCTGGTTTGCAGCATTTTGATTAAATTCCAGGGCAACCTACTGTGCCCAAATTGCTGGCTTGCAGCAGACTTTACTTTTCAGTATATTTTAGTGAGTACAAACAAGCTACAGTCTTAACTAGATAATCACGGGTTTAAGCCCTGGTAGTAACAGGGGTCACCCAACACTCAGTGAAAAACATAGGAAACAGGTTTATCTTCTAGGAAGAGTACTCAGCATAGTATCACAGCCTTGATTTGAGATTCACTTCATTTTGTAACCTGTTTTTTTATTTTGGAAATGGCATAAAAATACCTTAATATTTCCCACATATTTCATATGATAACAAAAATAAAATAGTATGTAGAAGTTACTTTAAAGATTAATATATATAAAGGTTATAATATAAACTAATAATTCACAAATGTACTTGGAAAAATAAATTACTTCCTACATAGCTTCGGGCCATTTGTGTTATTAATACATGATGGCTAATGCCTTTGGTTACAAAAGCACTATTGACTCACCCTTATAGTGATGGATTTCTACCACCTATGTGAACCAGTCACATTTTTATAGAGTTAGCTTCAGTATTTTGAAGGTTCAACAAGTATTCCAGATTCCATAGATGTGTCAAAATAAATATTTATTATGCAACAACTATTATAATTGTTCCCCAAATCCCAAAGCAATTTAAAGTCAGGAGTGAGGGGATCTGGGATAGAGGAACTTCTTATGCAATAGGGACAGTGTGCCACCTACCCTATTAAGTGCAGTTGAAAATGTACTGTAGCTGAGCTAACACCTAATAGGGAAATAATGTTCTCCTGCCCTTGTGACCTGGTAAAGGGCAGCAAACAACTGAAGAGTGGGAGCATCATTTTAAAACTTATCTAAAAAGGCACAGTTAATATAAGAGATTAGTGATTCAAACACTGGAGACTATTATTAAATGTAACAACTAAACAAATGGTCTTGGGGCCATAGAAATGGCTCAACAAATGAAAGTATGTACTGCTCTGATGAATCTGATTTCAGTTCCCCTTATCCAAATCCAGAAATTCTCAACTGCCTGTACTCTGATTCTACAAAGATCCAATGCCTCTCCACAGGCACCTGCACTCATAAGTACACACACACACACACGCACACACGCACGCACGCACGCACGCACACACACACGCACACACGCACACAAAGGCACACACACACACACACACTTTAAAAGAAATCTTTTAAAATTGATTTTGAAATGAAACATTGATTCCAAATTGGTGCCTTGTCACCTAACATCTTCTTTACCATCTCCTGATTTATTTGATACATCAATTTCTTGGATGATTCCATCACCAGCCATTTTTGAAATGAAAAGAAAGCAGTGTAATAAGTATGTCTACAGGATATAGGGAATTAATATGTTAAAATCACAAATTCTGGGTGTGTGTTTGTGTACCCATGATAAATAGTTTGAGACATATCCAATACATTAAACTACAGCATTTGAGGATATCTGTGGAGTGTGGATATAAAGGATACAGGATCACTGTAAAGCACTGAAGTTCTGAACATTATCACCTGCTCAGCGGACCAGGCACAGTATTGATACCTGAAAAACAGCACACGTCTCAAAAAATAACAGAAATACAGAAAGAAAAATTTGCAGAAATGCTATGGTAGAACCTATCCTTTCAAAGATGAGTAAGTCATGAGTAAGTCAGTATGTGAAATGTTAAAACGTTTTGAAGTCAGTGATACTGAATAAGTAAAAACTGCACAAGCTTATTGAGACCTATCTATGCTCTCTTTACAACTTTCCAATAAATTTCAAACTATTAACTGCCAGATAATTTAAATAACTATAAATTAAAATATATCCATGAATTGCTAATATTTTTAATTTAGAACTTTAAGTTGAAAATCCATAAAAATCTGCTGCTTCTACTTTCTATAGAGAGTAAACTGAGCTAGAAAATGGTGCATCAAAATTCAGGGTCACAGTGTCCTCCTAATTTTTAATCATTAGTAACTACAAAGCCTAATATTCACAGTAATAACTCTCCCTAAAAAATGTCTTGAGCCAAACTTTTATCTTTGGTGACCAACATTAATTCATATTTTAACTGATCTTATGTCTTAATTATTAAATCAACTTGATGAAAACTCTTTGCCACCGAAAGCCAGCTCTCTAAACACTGTGGACATGACTTTTGATGGACCAACTTGCACGGAAATTAGGATCTAGTAAAACAAATGTATATTAAAAGCACATAGCATATAAAGATCACATGTTTATGTAAGGAAAGCTTCTTACAAAGTGTTTTAAAGTGGCAATACATTTTA